AAAGTCTGTATAAAATGCATAACTCTTTCATCCCGCGTCCATTTTTGACTGTCTTTATATTGTTGAACTCCTATTAATGAGATCTTCAATTCTCATTTAGATCATTTCGACTATAAATCGATCGATCTAAAATTCGATTTCTGAGCTGTATAATGTTACGCTGAATCTTAGAAAAATCATAACTTCCTCTAATGAAGTCAGATTTTGACGTTCTCTATGTACGCTCTCAGTTTAATGACTATTACGACTTTCATTAGGATCACTAAGGCTAAAAAGTAACCTAAAAAAATTTACTTTTTACGACGCAAGATGCCGTATCGGGTTGAATTGCGAAAGTTCAACGGGACATATAACTATTTCGTTCCAAGTCTGATTTAAACGTTCCTTATATCTCCAGAATCCTAGTTATGACTACTTCAACTTTTGTCAAGGATTTTGGCCTAATTATTAATCTATTTTAGACGCGTATATTATTCTGATTTTATTATATCGCTACGAGCACGTACACACAAATACTTACACATAGAACATATACTACTCAAATAGTTTTCTTTATTTATTTCATATAAATGTTACAATTCTTGACCCTAACTATTACATCATTTTATTAACGCCTAGCGGGAAACACAGATGTTACATCAGTGAAAGTACACAGATCAATATGGATGAGCTGCTAGCAGAATGGAAGCACTGGTAGACCTTTGAGATGCCAGAAAGCAAGAAATTAAGAATAGCAACGTTCAGTGCATGAAGGAAAACTAAGTCTGAATTTGTTTTTTTCCTAAACCTAGTCTCATGGCTGTAGGTTGGAAATAAAATATTCACATGGATTGGGACGTATGCACCTTCAAATCTAAGTGGCAAAAGGTTTCACTCTAATTTATGAAAATGATTATGAGGAAATACTTCGCTTATAGATTTTAAAGATCTGATAAATATCAATATGGATATTGGTTGTGTTAATTGCATTCTCTTATTGATAATATGATTACGAAATCCTTCTTCATATTATGAATTGTGATAAATGGCAAGGAATTGTTTTAAACTTTCGATATATATATATATATATA